AGAAAAATACCAATTTTGATACTAAAGTATCACATGTGGCAACAGTGCGCATGACACCAAATAACCTGACCCTTAGATATTACCCATGAGAATTTAGATACAAAACTAGCACATTAATGCTTTTCTGTAGCATTTTTTTAATACAATAAGTATATATATGACATGCAAAGCTGTCAAAATAGTGTGGCATAACTGCCTTAAAGTGTTAATATAAACAATTCAGTTTATTGTAAAAATATTAGCTTGGTCTGTCTCACCAGCGTCGTCACAATAAATTTATAGATTGTGATCAGAATATTCAAAGTGTTGTAGTTTTATTTCAATTTCTTTATTTACGTAATGCTTTATTTCAGAATTCATAAATTTTAAATTTATATTTAATATAGTAAAACAAATTAACCTTTTGTTTCAAAGAAAAATAAAATAAATATATATGTATATATAAACGAAATTTGAATGTTTTTTTTTTTCGAAAGTGTAAAAAATTTAATAATTAAATAAAGATGTCTCGTGAGAAGTTTCAGTGCTTGAATGTCCTTGATAGATCTTCCTCTTTCAAGCCCCTGGTTTTGTATTCTTCCGATCTTATCGTTGGTGTGAGACCTCCTGTCGTATTCAAATATTTTTACTACAACTACGCCTTCGTTTGGAGATTTCCGTTATAGTCGGTCTCCTTTGCGTATTACAGAGAATTACTTTCGACACAGTCGACGTGATACCACCTGTCGTGTCTCAGTATTATCTAGTAATTATTCCTTCCTAAGGATATTTTTTGTTTTTTATCCTTATAAATATATAACTTTTTGAAATTATTTTGGACACAGTCCACCTGTCGTGTCTTAATAATTATTATGCCTTGATTTCGATATTTCTTTCATATGAAATATCCTTATATATTTTGATTTTAGCAACTATTTTGGACCCAGTCGACGTGAAACCACCTGTCGTGTCCTAATAGTTATTATACCTTGATTTCGATATTTTTTTCATATAAAATATCCTTATGTATTTTAATTTTAGTAACTATTTTGGACCCAGGCGACGTTAAACCACCTGTCGTGTCTTAATAGTTATTATGCCTTTGTGCCTCTAGAGCTTAGTTGACTTGTTCTTCCAAGGTGTATGTGCCTTTGAAGTAATATTGTAACTGTGTTGTTTATGGTAATATACGCATAAATATTCAAAAAGTCGAAGTGTAAGAAGGGTATAATGTGTTTCACGGTATCCATTTCCTTAAGTTTGGTGTAGGATGTTAAATAATTGGAACAAATCTATGAAAGTCTTGTGTTTCTAAAATTTTTTCATGATATGGAAATTTCTGAAAATAAAAATGTAATGCTTTCAAAACAACCATTTGGTTTTATTTCTGGATATATTGAAAGCAAGTTTGTAAGAAAAAAGCTTTTTATTACAACTTTTAGTTATTATTAAAACCTTAAACTTATCATGATAATTCGATAAATTTTGTGAGATATTATCGACAATACAATAATACATTAGAAGATGTGTCACTCAATTTGACATCAGGAAATATTTTCTTATTTCATGATATGAAATAGCCTTTTTCGGAATTAATAAAAGCTTTTAGCAAAAGTTAGAATCAAAGCTTTTTGCTAACTTAAAGCTCATTTTAGCTTTTCGATAAAAATTAAGTGAGGAAACGAACTAGAGAACATCAACAGTAAATGTCAAACTGTATAAGGGTTGATTGATGCAAAATCATTAAGGGTTGTAGTGGTAGTGGCACTACAAACCACTTGAGGTGGGTTTCTTCAATATTAACAATCTCTATGGTTTAGGGATAAAATAATCTTACAATTTATTAATACGGTTAACGATGTGTTTTGAATTTAAGGGGTGAAAACAATATGTATATGAATACATATTCTACAACATACTCTTGTATGCCTTATTGTCTACTAAACATACACTTACCAATAAATGTCTGGAAATTAATCTTACAGTAAGACTTATAACATAACTTGTAGTGTAAAAATTTTTACGAATATTTAATCTATAAAATATTTACAGCAAACATTAATAATCAATGCGGAGTTAATTCCAAAACAGCCATGTGGGATATTATGTGACAGATAAAAACTTTTGTAGAAGGCACGGTTAAAGGCAACCGTACCGCATCACTAATTCCTGCAATATTTTTCAGAATGATATAAGTTAGTATCACATGATACTAACGAATATGACAATCTCTGAAGAAAATTAAGTAGTAATGATAGCAATTGAAAACAAATGTCTACCTTCACTATTGACCATTAAGTCTCACATGGTGGTTTGTTTGTTAAGTTCCTGGGCATAGTGTTATCAAAAGAAACAAACTAGCAGATGGCATAAACAGCATAGACTTTGAGTTCAAACCCGAATATATAAACTATTCTGCATCGTATGCAGTGAAAACATTACTGAACATATTTTATATTTGGGTTTTCAGATACTGTCAATGGGTCTATTTACTATCATGAACGTGAGATGAACTTGACGGCAACATGAACTGTCAGTTCAGTTTATACTATCATAAACTCTCATGAGCGTGAAATTTGTTTTGTTTTGTGTAAACGTATAAAATGCCTGTGTGTAGTAGTGCACACCATAGAAATTGAGTGAACGATTCGTATTTAATATTAAAAGGTGAACATAAACATAACATTGCATATGTATGAGTGTCAAGCTAAAGAAACGCAGCAATTTTCATTGCGTGAAATTCATGAACTCACATCACACTTTTTTCCCTCTCTCATCTATTCGTAACCGGTTTTCAAGTTCATGTTTATGTTACGTTCATGATAGTGTAAATAGGCCCAATAAAATATTGGTGTGTTATTTACCAGTTATAATGTATTATATAAATATAATGCATTATAGCACTATAGATAAATATAATGCTTCCATTGAGCCCCTCTAGCCCCTCATTTCAAAGCATTTTATTTGATTTTATTTCATTTTATTTAATTTTATTTGATTTCATTTCATTTCATTTCATTTTATTTTAATTTATTTTTATTTTATTTTAAATTTATTTTATTTTATTTTATTTTATTTTATTTTATTTTATTTTATTTTATTTTATTTTATTTTATTTTATTTTATTTTTATTTATTTTATTTGTTTATTTATTTATTTTATTTTATTTTATTTTATTTTATTTTATTTTATTTTATTTTATTTTATTTATTTATTTTATTTTATTTATTTATTTTTTCGTTTATTTTATTTATTTATTTTATTTTATTATATTTTATTATATTTCATTTTATTTATTTATTTTATTTATAAATTTTATTTTATTCTGTTTTATTTTTTTCATTTATGTATTTTATTGATTTATTTTATTTATATATTTTTTATTTATTTATTTATTTTATATATTTATTTTATTTATTTATTTTGTTTATTTATTTTATTTATTTATTATATTTTATTATATTTATTTTAAATTTTACTTGATTTTTATAAGGTATATCAACAAAAATCTTTCCAATAGAATTAATCAAAATACTAAATCACGGAAACCACGTCCTATTATTTTACCATAAAAGCAGCATCCTACAATTTCCTCTTTAAGGTATTTTGTACCAGCTACTTTAAAAGTGCCTCGCAACTGTTTTTTCCCAGTTTTAGCTTTTTCTATTTTAGGGGCCTTTTCTTTAAGGATCTTTTGGAATTTCTGGAATTTCTCATTGAAATCTGTCTTAAGCTTTGTAAAAGACTCAAGGAGGTTCTTAAAGGTTTTATTTCTCTCGATACATTTACATATGCTTACGCCATACCCTTAGATATAACATAGTACCAACTAACTTATATATTCAACCAAAAATAAGAAATTGAATTAAAATCCATACATTTCGAATAAATGTTTTTATTTGTTTTTGTTTTTTAATCCAAAACTAATCCGAATCTACGACCAGAAATTATGATGTATCTAAATGGCTTTTAGCCTAAATATTGCGTGTTCACAAATACTTAAGTGCTTCCTAATTATAGCCGGCGCAGGATGTAATTGTGGGTGAGCTTTCGGTAATTTAATTTTTTTATTGCCTTTAAATACGTGCACGAACACACTGAACCTTATTAAATGCTAAACAAATAAATAAATTGTGTGATAAAAGTTGAATGTGACACAGAACGAGCCATCCAGGATTATCAGCGCTTTACTTTTCTTCTGCCTTTATGTGCCGTTTAACCACTCCCAATTGCCACATGGTTTTAGTGCTGTCACGTGGCGTTAAACGCAAATGCAACATGTCCTTTTTTGCTCGCGCTCAAGTGTGGTACGTAAACAAAGTCCTTATAAACAAAACAAGTGGACGGACAAGTGTTTACCTTTCTCTTGTGCATGTGACAGTTATGAATTGAGTAATCCAAAATGTCGAGAGCGGCATGTAAACAAATAAAGAAAGCTTTCACCATTTCCTCAGAAATGCTGCTCAGAAACTTTCACAATGCTTTCGCTTGTCCGTTCATGCGTGAGCATGCAATGAAGGACTTCCACTCTACAAAGTCTACAGGACTCGACTTGTTATCATGCACACTTAAAGCAAAGGAATTTCACAGAATTCAGCAGTTCGCGTGCGGTCCTTGGAGCTTCAAGTTGTCTCAACGGTAAAGTTGACTCCGCAAAAAGTGTTGAAATGTTTTTAAAAGAAATAAAAATACTATAAGGACATTAAGCAAAAACTATTGTGTAATACAGACGATAACTTTTAATTATAAAATAAAAATATTTTTAAATAAAACTTTGTGCCAAAACCAATAAGAACAATAAGAATTCTCTGACTTGAGAGCAGCAACTTTTCATAGTAGAAGCAAAATCCGGCGTAATTTGATGTAAACACGGGTGTGCCGTCAGTAAGGATAATACATCTGAAATGAACTTCTAATTAAGTTTAATAGAAAAACAAAAAAAAAAAAAACAATCAGAGATATTTAATTAAATTAACTTAACAAACAGAAAAGTTTCCATCATTTAGTTACGTTTAAAATTTTACAATAATAAACATTGTGCCAAATCTTATTGAGTTCCTTTCATCGAATGAATGCCGAGTTCAATTTAAATGCAGGAATCGTGAAGTGAAGGAGCAGTAGAACTTTAAGTTTTTAAGTATTTTAATTAAATAGTATTTGCTTTTGCAAGGACCTGGATTACCTTGTAAAAGTGCTGACATCAAAGCGCATTAAATATCAATGATAATAATATGTAAGTACAAAATGTCCTTATATCCTTGAAGCTGTCAACCGCACTTCTTAAAACCGTACATCAAACGTAACTACTATCAACATGACCGTATTTTTTTTTCTTCTATTATTTTTCCCTACAAGTTCAATCCACAAGTGCAACATTTTGTATATGAGTCCACCGGGAAATCTTACTGAAGTGGAAATAAAGCTTATGCCCTATTTTGTGTCAGGATTATTTATATATATCTCAATACATAATATATGTATATTTCTTTTCAATATAATTTTTTTTTATTTTGTTATTTGTTTTGGCTTTGTTTTTTATTTGAAGTTCTTGTGTTTAACGATTTATGTTTATTGTTTGTGAGAAGTCATCCGAAGATTTTTTACATTAAGATAATTCTCCTGAGACTAATGAGGACAATCAGGCTTTGCTTTTAGAGTTTTTTGTTCATCTTTTTTTCTTTTTGCAGGATATGCCACTTTTATAGCAAAAGGTCTTAAAAGGATTCATAAAAACGGCAATGACTAAAAGTTTGCCATTCATTGTTGGAAGTTGAATTATCATTTAAATTAAATTAATAATATTGTAACTTATTTAAGTTCTTTATAGTCTTTATATTCTTTCTTTATATTTTATATGGTTTTTTAGTGTTTTTATACTTATGGTACTTAAGTCTCTTGAAAAAAATAATCTCATATTATTATCAATGTTTTAACATGACTTTGGGAATATGTGCACTGTGACTGAAGGGAATAAAATGCTAAGTCTGCAACTTCAATATTAAGCATACTATTCTATTCTACTATTCTTTTGGTCTTGGGTCATATGTCAGGTTTCTCTGATTAGATTAACGATTTCACATAACCTCATAATAAATAATTTGGCGTGATAAGATCGCACTATCGTGGACTCCCAGCAAATACTTTAAACTATGTCCCTTGCAAAAGGACATATAATTTGATTATGTCGTGAGTTATGCGGCATTTTGCGCAATCTTATTAAAACCCAACCTATTGCATGTTAATGATATTTAAATGGAGAACAAAAAGCTGTAAGTCATGGTTCTGAAGCGCTGTTCTAAATTCTGAGCTTTGAACAGACGAAAAATTATCAAAAAACGACAGATGATTCCGCCATTTCTTAAAGCAGATCAACATTCAGTCATGTTGATATAGAGAAATGTAATGTTAATAATATGTATGAATGTTTATAGAAACAATAAATTGATTTTTCGACTGATAGAATACTTGAAAGAATATGGGCCAATGATTTTACAATTCTCTAAACCACACCAATATCGACTCATGTTGAAATGGCAAAAAGTAATGAATTAATTAATGATGTCGATGGAAACAATAGTAATTTATTTATCATTTGAATAATCAGGGTCTCTCATTTTTCACAAGTTTTGATTTTATTGCAGCTCAGAACAGCTCTCGCCATTATAGAGTACGACTTGTAATACTAATACATATAGTATCGATATTCCTTAATCATACAATATAAGAATACTTTTTGAAAGTACCTACTACATGTATCTTATCGATTACTTCAAAAGCGTTAATATTTGTGTTACTTACAAATGAGTCATCATGAGGTTATAAAGGAGTATCTTGAGCTCATGACTTATAATATGAATACTTTTAGTTATAAACATAATAAGAAAAAAAAGAGTTTCTCTTGTACATCCAATGAAATTATAGCAAATGTGTATACAAAAGATAGATAGTAATTCAAAGAGTTCACGGTTGTCATGACACCCCGAGTAACGGGCGAAAAGAAGAGCTCTTTTGTACTCAAACCAACGGCAAGGATCATGGAGCATTATCATCTTTATAAGATATATCTCTTCGGGAAGACAGAATTTTATCTTTGTCTGGAAGCAGATACGACTATTAGAAAATGTGGAAATTATTTCCTAAATGATGATAATTATGAATGATATAAATATGAATTAAATATGATATGTAATAATGTTATTATAAATGAATTATATTACCATGTTTATTCTGTATTCACATCACGATAGCTACGATTAAAATCGTTTTGTCTTATATAGCCTCATCACACTATGAACCATGATGCCAAATTTTCAACAGATTAGCAGTATTCTGCTATTTCATTGATGGAATTTATAGCAGATCATACCTGAATATCAAACACAATCCATTGAAGTCGTTGGTAATGTATTCAAATTTTTAATGAAGATATGAAAACACAAAAACCAGACATTTCATAATTTCTTCTTCTTTAAGTGAGTTTAATTAATATAATTTTCCCTGCACTGTAAGAAGGCTGTTTAGGTCATTTGATTTAGTTGATGATTAAGAGTTAGATATTTCTTCCAGTTGTCGATACTTTAACAGGATGGCTAAATTTTTTGGTTTTCACTACAAACCTTCTTCAAGAGAAGTGTTTACTTTTCAACAATATATGCTATAGTGTTCCAATAAAATATACAGTATAATACATTGAATTAGTATTTCGAATCGGTATATTAATTTCAAACCACCAGACCATATATGGATAGAACAGCTCTATCTAAAATTCCTGGGCTAAAATATCTGTTCTTAGCAACTTATAGAGCAGTTTGAATGTTGAATGGAGCCTAAGTTTGGAATAACGAGGAAGTTGGCAAATATTAAAAGTATTTTATTGAGCGAATTCTTCAATTGTACATTTTAACACCGATATATGCTTTAATGACAGAAACTGATATGGAAGATAAACAACTTACATTTTAACTACGTAGTAAGGACGGTGACAACGTACAATGCACAATGATCAAAGTATCTCTATTGCAAAATATCAAAGACCGGGCATAATTTTAAACTTTAGAAGGTCTTTGCATAAACATTTGAGACTATTGCCTCAAAGGATCACAGTATCCATTCGTATCCAGATCGCAATCGACCTTTCGAGATTAAGAATCGTTTGAATGTTGTAAAACATCATTTAACAAGAACCTTCTTTTAAAATAATAATTTTGCTGTCAACTTGAAACTTTGAAGTCACTGTAGAACACTTAAATCACACACCGATGTAATTTGGTAAGCTCTTTTTGTAACATTAATGAGGATGTCAGATTGCATTTCGAATATATATATACATGTAGGATTTCTATAAACTTTGATATGAAGCATTGTCTCACATATTGTGATAGGGCTTTCCGTCTGGTTCTTGTTGAGCTCTACTTTTGGGGTCTGTATTTTCTTTATCATACCGTATTGATCATCTGATTCTATTTTACTGCTTATTAATCATGATTAGAATTTTTTGTAAATTATTTTTCCTCAAAGACGTCAAAGACATCCAAAGAAATACCATTTATTTTACATTTCTGCAAGATCATTATTGATAAGTTCTTTTGAATTTATTGACTTGAGAATAATACCTCATATTTGCAATGCTCACAAAGGTGTTTCCAGTAACAACAGAACATAATATAAATTGGGTTTATGTTGGTCAGAGGTAAGCTTATTTTTACACTTCCAGACTAGAGGTTATATTTGTCCTATAGCCGTAGAAAAAAAGTTTCTAACACAAGAGTCATTGTAAAAAGGTACTGAAATGCACTCAACTAAGTGAGATGTAATCGAACCCTTGAATATATAGTTAGACTGTATATATATATATTATTATTATATATTAGACTGTGTAATAGCATAAATTTTGAAATTGGCTCATTACTTGCTTTTACAAAACTGTATAATTTCTTATTTAATCTTTTTCATTAATAATATTGGTTCAAAACGCAAACTAGTTTATTTTTTAACAATTATATCAATTTGTTCTGATTTATCAAAGATATGTGTGGTCTGTCATTGTCATGATGGAAACTATTTCCTTTTTTATTGACCAACTCTGGTAGATTATCTTTAATTATTTCATTCAAGAACTCGAGTTGGGAGCAGTAAAGCACCAAATTAATTCCAGCACCAGGCTTAAGTAGGATATAATAGATCATTCCCTTCTAATTCTAACAAACATTTAACATGACCTTATTGTCACTTATTAAATATATACATATATATATGCAACAACAAAACTTTTATTATTTTAATTAATTGAATGTTTGACTGAACCATTATCAGTGGTTTTTTGGAAGTATTTTTTTT